GAGAATAAGTATCTGTACTAGCCAGTGACAAACCTCCTCACCTCACTGCTCACCAAATGCATACTGTTTCACCGTGGGGGGACCATGGTACAAAGAATAACAGGTATAATACTCCCGAGCGCGATATTGGAATGAGTTCGCGCATTACGTCACAATGAGAGTGATTTTAAATATTCCCCGTAAGAACCTTAGCAATCGGAACACAATTAACCTTTAATTGACAATAAAAAGTAATTTTAATGGATTAACAGAGTTTTTATTGAACTATTTCGGATTTATTGAAATATAGGTGTTTTATTATTTTTTTATTATGTTTAATTATGTTTATTACAAATTTGTGAGTTTTTTGTATTTTTTCGCTTTTTTATCCTAGAAAGGTAACCTTCGTAAATTTTACGAGTTCGTTTTTGATTGTATTCTCTTATTTGGTGCCAGTGTCAAAAAGAAAAAAAAGCCTTCTTCTAGTTGCACGTAAACGGAAGAAAATAATTCATCATTAATTATCTACACTTGTAGCATTTTCAATTTCATTGATTCTTTTGAGTATATTGAAACCTCCTCGTATAATAAAATATATTAAAAACTCCTTATATATATTTAAAAATAAAACGAGAATTCTCCCGTGTTTGTTAGTTCGTATCTTTCAAAGTACCCAAAAGTGTTTCGTCGCCGAGTAATAAAACCATTTGAGAGTTGTTTATTTTACTTCGGCAAATTCTTTTCATGTTGATGCGTCGCAAAAGAATATGTACGCCGTTTCGTTGATTTTGCTATGTCAAGTGTTTGTTTATTTTCAAGTTATGCGATCAATTTTAATAGATAATTTCGTTACTCTCGTTGGAGCTGCGATCAAGAGCGGTTCAGCGTTATGTCCAAATTCACGTCGAATTTGTAAAGTGTTCTGTTTTCGTCTTTTATTATGAAGAATATGTAGCAGTTTGTTATTGGTTTTGTGGCAGTAAATGCTTCAATTATTAATGTTTTGAGTGAGGATTGGAGGACATCCTCGTTTTGTTTTTTTTTTGTTCCTGCTTTTATCCAAGGCTTTTGGCAGTTTGGAGATGGAGGTTTTCGTGATGCAGAGAGAGTGGAGCCCTCAGTTCCAGTTATGGTTTCAGAAAGTTAAGTGTGATCATGTGAATTAAGGTAACATTTTGTTCAAATTTTAAACTAAAGACAGACATTTTTTTTATAAAATAATAATTGCTTTCGTTGACATTTAAAATTGTAAATTTTAGGTTTTGAGTAAACCTGTCAATTTGTGTTTAGTTTTTTTTTGAAATTTAATGTTAATTTATGACAGCTCGTTTTAGTATTTTTGATGTTGATTTGTTTTGTTTTTTTTTAAAGGTTAACCTCCATGCAATTTTGTAAGTTTTGTAGCAATGGAGTTTGTTAATGGATGACACATGTAAGTTTTTGAATTTTGTATTTCTCCATTTGTAACTGTTTGTGGTGACACATAAATAAATTTAAATTTTGTTGTCTTAACATTTTATTTATTATTTTTTTGAGCTAACCTTTTTTTGATTTTTTTTTACTAGTGGTTGTAATAGGCATAATTAGGCACCTCAAGTGGGCCCTATATTAAATTCCTTGAGGTGTTTCTTGTTTATTTTTATTTTGTTTATCCCAAGAGCCCTTTATTTCATTTTTTTGTAGTTGCCCCATTCCAATGCCCTTATCTTTTACTTATCCACGACCCCAGCTCTCCTACGAAACCCTGAGTGCCGTTCGCATAAGTAGCGTTTATTTTGCTTGCCTTATCTCCACCCCAATAGTTTCTCCCCCCAATTTTCTACCCTTTGTATTATTACCCCATGTGGTAGGCAAAATATTTTCGTTACACACTAAAATCGGAAAACTAACAAACACAAGCTTTTAAGTTAAAATTTTTATTAATATTCTTTTATTTCTTATACCTTCTTTAAGTTTTAGGTTTAATTTCTTAATTCTGAAATACATTCGAGATCGGAAGAACAGATGTTTGATTTTGTAGTCACATTAAACGTTTTCCAATAAGTCAATTAGTCTTTGTAAATAATTTTTCCTGACTTTAATTGATGTTCAGATCCATTGAATTTATTAAAAATAATATTAAGTTCATTAATTCTTGCCACCAATTTCTCTGGAGGTTTCCTTAGGCCGCCTTCGGATACTTGATCAATCCATGTGTAAGGGGAAGTATCCGTAGTTTCAGGCCGTTTTTAATTTTTTAAATATATAACGACAGATGTTGGGTATCTCACTTAAAGACCATAAAACCAATGAAGATATTCGTAATAGAACGTAAAAAACGACAAAAGTAAAAGATGCTCTCGAACACGCAGCTAAACTGAAATGGAAATGGGCTGGACATAACGAACGTCTTATGGATGGCCGATGGAATAAAGAAATCGGGAATTGGCAGCCATATGAAGCCAAAAGACCACGAGGAAGACCGCAAATGCGATGGAGCGACGATATTAAAAGAACTGCAGGGTCAATGTGGAAACGTCTTACAAATAACAGAAATGAATGGCAAGAATTAGGAGAGGTCTATATTGGACAATCAGAATAGAGAAAAGGGCTTAAAAAATCTTCCACTGCATTATAATGTAATTGGTCTAGTTCTTCTTTGTCTGTATCCACTTCTTCTTTTTCTGCTTCGCCAGATAAATTTGAAAAATATGTTTTGATTAACAAAACTTCTTGTAAGTTATCAATTGGTTCATCAATAACATCAGCTTCTGATGTTATCATTGATGCCTAAAATATAGTTTTTTAACCGGTAGCGAAATTCCACCGCATTAGGATGGTTACGTAATCCACCAGCTCTCCTAATGTTGAAACTGAAATGTCAATAAACGTATTTTAACCTTTAATTGTGGCTTATTCTCATTTAAATAGTAATTATATTGAGTTTAGTTTTTATATCGTCAAATAAATTTGACTCCCTTTTGGAAAACCTTTCTTGCCTTTTAAGTTGGTTTATGGATAAGCTTTTTAATTGTGGTAGATGAAGAGAAGGAATCCTTAAGGATTTGGAGCAACCCCCCCCTGAAAAAATACAAGAGGGGTATAAGTATGGTTGAGTATTAATTACTGACTCAATAATAATTAAACATACTTTATTTACAACTTACAATTAAAATACCAAAATGTTGTCCATGCAAAGTAGGTATACCTGCAAAGCCACTATTACTTAAAAAGCTCGGATAAAGAGTTGAAAATATCCTTAATAATAATTCTTTCTCACTAAAATGTCTCCAAATCAACTTAATCTCACAAAAACACTATAAAATCTTCTAAAAGTTTAACAAAGACGCCAAAAGTTAAAACATTAATAAAATTTCCATTATAAACAGATGTATTACAATGACGGCCATTTTTATTATTACGTCGACAGTAGGGGATCAGCTGATACTGGCCTGCGCAATATCATACCTGTTATTCTTTGTACCATGTGGGGGAACTACTATTTTGTGGTAATTAAGGTAGTGAGGATTTTTTCTCCCGTTTTCTTCCTTTGCGCTGTGTTGATGATGTCTCGTTATGTGTCGCTCTGCAAGGACTCGATGCATGATAAAGATTTTGTCCTATTTTGAGGGAGTTGTTCTGTGATTTTTTCTGGAGGCTTTTATAAATTTTTTCTTTTATGTTTTAGTAAACTTTTGTTAGTTTTTTTAGAGGTACTGATATACTTCAGTACTTAAATTTAAAGGGGGTTGAACTCACCAGCGACTTATGTATCTTGTAATTATTCTGCTGTCCTGATGCATTTGTTTTGAAACCTTTGGATATTTTTTCTGTTTATTTGACAGGTGGTACCGACTCACGTGTTAGTGTAAGTATAATAATGCTGTTTATTAGTCTGACTTTAGTTTTAAATAATAGTTTGCTATTATTTTCAATTAATTTTTCAAAATCGGTTTGGATATATTGTGTTTTGCCTTGTTTATAGCGCTAGTCACATATGATATGAATGTTACCTGTCTAGCGCGACTCCCAAATATTTAGCACCGTCTATCCATTATATTTGGAAGTCAAATATTTCTCTGGTGTTAATTGGAGATTTGCTACGCCCTAGAATTTGTCAGGATTTATCACAATCTTCTACTGTATGCACCAATTTTCTAGTTAGTTTAGAGCATGTTGTATATATATAACTACTGTACCTTCTAGTTGGGTACTTCTGGCTGCTATTGCTGTGTCGTCAGCATATAGGGTAAGTAGAGTCCCTTGTGCATTTAAAATATCTGCTGTATATATTGTGTCTAGTATGAGTGAAAATACTGCCCCTTCTGTACTCATGTTTCAATCAAGTGTTTCTACTCTAGTCTGCTTGTAGAAATACTTATTCAAAAACTCTGAAATTATCACCAAACGTAACAAATACGATATCACTGGTTACTTTATATGGTTTTAAAACTATTTTGGTTTACATAGTGGAGGTAAAGATTAACCAAGTGCTACGCCAAAGTTTTCTTTGTAGAAATAATTCTTTAACTGAAAATCAGTATGACCGTTAATATATCGTTTTTCTCTAGTTTGGCTTTTATTATTTTTAAGTTGTTTCTAAAGGCCGATTTGTAACTAAAAAAAACTACTTATAATTAAACTTATGTGGAGCATTATAAAAATAAAAATTAAAATATCTAGCAAGAGAACAAGAAGATTACTGACCTATGTTTCTTAAAAACTGAATATGTCTCACTTAAAATGTATAGGTATTAACTGTGATATAATTAATCGTGTACAGAAAAAGACCTAGTGCAGACATATTAAAAAAAGTAAGAACGCTAAATAAACAAAGTTACAGAATGAAATGCGATAAAAATATAAAGAGAGAAAGACTTTGAACATCATTTGGAGATAGAGAAGATGAGGCAATGGAAAGAAGAAACCTGCACAATTGAGATTGGCAGGATAGTCGCAGCTGTAGAGAATAGTTTAGAGAAGGAATATTGTAAAAACTATAGAAACAATTTTCAGTAATAGTAAAATATGTTGCTACTTACTTTAACCTCTGCAAACCTCTTATTTCTCTTATTTTATTGTAAGACATATTCAAATGTACAATGGACCAGAATCTTTTCAAATTTGGTATATGTACAATCTTGTTACCTGAATAATTTACTGTGGTGAGATATAAAGGTGGACTAAAATCGAATGCTTGTTCGATAGAGTTAAAAGATGCATCCAAATACTGTAAAAATGGCATTTCGCTCAGTGGTTCCAATGATACAATAAAGTTATGGGCAATATTCAAGTATTGAATGTAGTGGTATCGTCTAATTTCTGATATATCGATTAACGTCTGTAATAAAATTTTGAATTAAAAACAAAAAAAGAAATGATAAAATTAATAAAAAAAGATATGTACATACCTATATATTTCTAAAATATTTTGAAACCCCAGATCAAGTGAGCCAAAATAAGTAAAAACCGGGGGTAATAATAAGCGGTTGAAACGTGGCACTGGATCACACGAAGAGTGGTGGATTTTTCGGTCAAAAGGTGGAGAAAAAGACAAAGAAGGTGTCTACTTCATCTATTTATTTGAAGACGTTTTGATCTCTAATCAGAAAGCATCATCAGTTCATCGAAAAAGAATAATATGAAAAACCAAATATCCATAGAGAGGTGAATACAAACGGGTTACCTCAAAAAGACATGTAGCAGTCAACGGTATAATAAATAAAGAAGCTTAAGACATTAGACATTAAATAGTTAAGTTGTCTTCTTCTTGATGTGCCTATCCGTTAGGAATGTTGGCGATCATCATGGCAATCTTTATCTTATCTGCAGCAGCGTGAAAAAGCTGCACAGTTAAGTTGTATAAACAATTAATTCAAACTAAATACAGTTTACAATTAAAATCAAACTTAGAACGGCAAAAGACCATGTGGTTATTATACATGTAATTTAAATTAAGTATGTAAAAAAACTTATGTAAAAAATAAGTATTTGCCGAGAACTAACAAGATCATAAGATCACACTTCCAACAGTGTACTATTAATTTAATTTAATTTTGACTTTAGGTAAAATGCTTCCACGCTTTCCGGAGACACTCGGCAAATGGAAAGCGTGGAAGCATTTTGTGGTAACTTCATTACACCTTTTATAAGATTACTATAGCAAACTCTCCAAATCACTTCATTAACATCACCTTAAGTCAAAATTAAATTAAATTATTGAACTGATGATGCTTTCTGATTATAGAGAGAAACGTCTTCAAATAAATAGATTATATATATATATATATATATATATATATTGTTACGATGTTATGGCGTATAGAACTATAAATATTTTATGACTAATTCTTTTGTATTGATTCTCGTAATTTCTATTTCAAAAATCTACCTGACATTATTTGGGTCCCCTTCGCTAAACAAACAACAATCGAATTTTCTGGGGACGAGCCGATAAAATACCAGTTTTGAGACTAGTCGCCGCCGTGTCTACATCGAGATCGAGAACGGCATCGTATTTTCTACAACATTCTGTTACAAGCTGGTTTCATATAAATACCGGAAGATTTTCATTGAGGAGTTAGTCATAAGAAGATCGGGAAACGCGATTTAATTGTAACGAAACATAAATAAATTATTTGTAATATAAATTAGGATTAATAAAGACTTTAATAAATTCGTAATTAGTTATCGTGAGTTTTAATAAATTAGAATATAGACAATAAATTAGAATAAAGACAAATAAATTAGAACTATATAATTATACAACAGTGGTGTACAGGAGTGGGATTGTAGATAAATTTAATTTGAATTTTTGAAAAGAAGTGAAATTGGTGAACAATGGCTACGATTTACGAGCTCACAGTTACGAATCTAAGAAGGCATCTTGAAGACAGAGAATTAGCTTCTACCGGAAAAAAGACTGAGTTAGTCCAACGACTAAAGAAGGCTTTGGAGGAAGAAGGTTTGAATCCGGAAACTTATATATTTGAAGACAAGCATGCTGCTGTCATCTCGTCGATTTCGAAATTTGAAAATAGGGTTTCCGGTGACATCGCTTCCTTAGAAAACAAAGTTACTAACGAGATTTCTTCTCTAGAAAGCAAAGTTTCTGCTAATATCTCCTCGGAAATCTCTAGAGTCACTTCGGAGATGTCTGCCCTCGATGATAGAGTATCTTCGCTAAAAAAGCAAGTTGCTGCCGATATGTTGGCCTTCAAAGAGAAGATAAAAGAGATGGAAAGGAAGATGGAGGAAACAGGGACAGCAGAGAGAGAAGACAATCCAATTATAGCAGAGACCAAAGAAGACGAGACGAAATGTAAGTTGGAAAAACGGCCGAAATTTGAAGGAAGCGGGGGTTATGTTCATGTCAAAGTTCCAACTTTCGACGGAAAATCGTCATGGAACAACTACACGAAACAGTTTGAATCAGCTGCAAGAGCGAATGGATGGTCAGAAAAAGAAAAGGCTGTAAACCTGACTATGGCTCTTCGAGGAGATGCCTTAGACGTGCTCCAGACCATAGCCGTAGAGGAGACGGATGATTTCGAACAACTGAAGAAGAGGTTAAATATGCGATATGGCCACGAACACTTGGAGCATGTATATCAGTCGCAGCTCAAAAATCAAAGACAAAAGAAAGATGAGGCTCTTCAAGAATATGAAGTAGATATCGCCAGATTAGTGCGATATGCTTATACAACAGCTCCCGAAGACATGATGGACAAGTTGGCCGTTCAAACGTTTATTGATGGTCTTCGTGATCATGAGATGCAAAGAACACTACGATTAGCTCGTCACAAGATGCTGGTTAATGTCTTATCCGCCGCCCTCGAATACGAGTCAGCTACGCAGGCCTCTGGCGGTTACAGTAAAGTTAGGACTGTAAAAGAGGAAGAAGATGAAGATAAACTCGACCAGCTCGTTAATATGATGAAAAGCATGACATACAAGAAAACGAAGATCATAAGATGCTGGAATTGTGGCGAAATAGGACACGTACGAAGTTTATGTAAGCATCCTAGGTACGACACAAATCAAGAAACTCACCATCAGGAAAACTAGAACGGGTCGGCCTTAGGGGGGCAGCTTCGACCCAGAACTTTTCCAAAGACCCTCTCATACTAATAGCTTCTTTGAAATGTCGTGAAGATAGTGTATATGTAGATGGAGAAATAAATGGTAAAAAGCATACGTTGTTGGTGGATACTGGAGCGACAAGAACCATTATTCGCCCGACAGTTATAAACAGCCGTAAGAAACTGTTACCAACGAGGTTGCGACTTCGGACCACTACAGGTGAAAATGCCAATATTCATGGAGAAATCCAGGTACAATTAGGAATTGGAACAGAAAAGTTCGTCCATACTGTTATAGTTGCTGACATCGAAGAGGATGTTATATTAGGAATGGACGTAATGAATACGCATGGATTCCAATTGGATTTTAAGAATAAGGTAATCAAAGTTGGTAACGAGGAGGTATTTCTCCATCCACATGATGACAACACTATGCAAGCAGCCGTTAAAGAAGATACAGTCGTGCCTGCGAGAAGTGAAACGATAATAGTAGCGCGGCTACGGGAATTGTGGACGAAGGAACACCTGTTATGATGGAGCCTTGGAATCATGACGACGAAGTTGGCCGTTGAATCATAATTGGAAAAGAATTAGTGACTTCGGCTAAAGAAATTCCTGTGAGACTTATTAATGTCAATGACTACCCAGTGACCATCAAGAAAGAGACAAAAGTAGGAACTTGTGTACCTGTCACATCCATAATCCGTCAGACGACAACGTCTGATAATTCCAACGATAAATTTGATCAAATGGTTGCGGTTGCTGGACAGTCTCTGAATCAGATTGAGAAAAGGAAATTAAGGGAATTTCTTCGGCAGTATCGTGATATTTTCGTACCGAAACGAGGAAAGACGGGAAGAACTACCGTTGTTAAGCATAAAATTGATACTGGTAATGCTAAGCCAATTCGTCAAACAGCTCGACGATTACCACAGGCGAAAAGAGAGGAAGCTGAAACGATTGTTCAGGAGATGAAGAAAGACGGGGTAATAGAACCTTCTACAAGCCCATGGGTCTCTCCGGTGGTACTGGCTAAGAAGAAAGACGGAACAACGAGGTTCTATGTGGATTACCGTTTGCTGAACAACGTTACCAAGAAAGATAGTTATCCTCTGCCTCGGATCGATGACACATGAGACACATTGGCTGGAAGTAAATTATTTTCTACTTTGGATTTGAAGTCTGGATACTGGCAGGTAGAAATGGATCCAGTAGATAAAGAAAAGACAGCCTTCACCACAGGATCTGGATTATGGCAATTCAACGTTATGCCATTTGGACTTTATAACGCTCCTGCCACATTTGAGAGGCTTATGGAAAATGTGTTGAGAGGGTTATCTTGGAAAACATGCCTAGTTTATCTAGACGACATAATCGTCTTGGGGAGACATTCGAAGACCATCTGAAGAATTTAGAAAACGTTTTTAATCGACTTAAAACTGCGAAATTGATATTAAACCCCAAGAAGTGCCAGCTATTTCAAGGTAAAGTCAATTATCTGGGTCATATAGTCAGTAAAGAAGGAGTGGCCGTGGATAAGGGAAAAAGCGATTCCATTAAGGAATGGCCAAAACCAACTGACAAACACCAAGTGAGAAGTTTTCTGGGACTATGTACTTACTACCGGAGGTTTATTAAGAAGTTTGCAGATATCGATAAACCATTAACGCGACTTACAGAGGAAGCAAGAGAATATCGCTGGGATGTAGACTGCCAAAATGCCTTTGAGACCTTAAAAAAGCATTTAATCACATCACCAATTTTAGGGTATCCACTGCCAGAAGGAGAGTTCATCTTAGATACAGATGCAAGTAATGTGGAATTGGAGGAGTGCTGTCTCAGATTCAAGGAGGACAGGAAAGAGTCCTTGGATATTTTAGTAAAGTTCTCTCAAAACCTGAGCGGAATTATTGCGTCACGAGAAGAGAACTTCTGGCAGTAGTGAAATCAGTAGAGCACTTCTATCAATACCTCTATGGAAGGAAGTTTTTAATCCGAACCGACCATGCCGCCCTTAAGTGGTTGATGCAGTTTAAGAATCCAGAGGGTCAGATAGCCAGGTGGATCGAACGACTCCAAGAATATGATTTTAAGATTGAGCACCGGGCCGGAGTTAGCCACCGAAACGCTGATTCTCTTTCCAGAAGACCATGCGCAGCAGAGTGTTCTCACTGCAACAAAACGGAATCCAAGGAAGCAGCAGTGCTAAGAACGACGGTGGTCCACGACGACTGGACGACTACCAAGATCAGGGAAGAACAAGAGAGAGATCCTGTTATACAGAAAATCCGAAAATGGAAAGAGGAAAGCCGTCGACCACCTTGGCAAGAAATATCGAACCTAGGCTCAGTTGTTAAGACGTATTGGGCCCAGTGGGACTCATTTATCATGGAAGATGGCTTGCTCAAACGAGTCTTGAAAAATGATGACGGTTCAGAGAAGAGAAGACAGTTGGTGATTCCAAAGAGCAGAATAGCCGAAGTACTTCGTCAGTTACACGACAGTCCATCAGGAGGGCATTTTGGTGTGAAGAAGACCCTTCAGCGAATTCGGGAACGGTTTTATTGGATGAACAGTTCCGACGATGTAAAAGACTGGTGTAAGAAATGTACTATTTGTGCTACGAGTAACGGGCCTTATCGAAAAAGGAGAGCTCCTATGAGACAATATAATGTTGGAAGCCCGTTTGAAAGAATAGCTTTGGACATTGCTGGGCCATTTCCAGAAAGTGATAATGGAGGCAAGTACATGTTGGTAGTAATGGATTACTTCACTAAGTGGGTCGAGATTTACGCACTTCCAGACTAGAAGGCAGCCACCGTTGCAGATAAGTTGATCCAAGAATATATCAGCCAATTTGGAGTGCCTTTGGAGATCCATAGTGACCAAGGCAGGAACTTCGAAAGCGATCTATTCCAAGGGATATGTGATAGACTAGGTATGAAGAAAACAAGACTGGGACCAATATCTTTCGTTCTTCACAATGGCCTACAGATCTGCTGTTAACGAATCGACAGGCCAAACACCAGCCAGAGTCCTATTCAGACGCGAGATGCGACTACCTTGTGATCTAGAGTTTGGGTGTCGACCTGGATAAGATGTAGCAGGTGAAGATTATGTGATCGAATTACGAAGAAGAATGGACGATGTACACGAATTGGTCCGTTCCCATCTTCAGATCGCTAGTGACCGAATGAAGAAACGGTACGATACGCAAGCCGAAAAGGGGTGTTTTAAGAAGAACGACAAAGTCTGGCTTTATAATCCCAAAAAGCGAAAAGGTTGTTCCCCAAGTTGCAGCAGTTTTGGGAAGGTCCATACCTCATTATGGAAAAGATTAATGATGTCATTTATCGATTAAGCAAGATTCCGAGGGGAAAGCCGATGATAGTACACCATAACCGGCTGGCGTCTTTCGAAGGTGACCACGACGTAGATGAAGAAGTGGAAGTAAACCAAGTCCAAGATGTGTCTGACCTCACGTTTGAGGAATTCATGGGTGCCTATGGAGGTACCGGTAAAGCAAGACATGGTGTTACCACTGAAGAAAGGCAAGATCTACTCGCGCTTCCCGATGACTACTCACTGGCCCTTACCATCCCGGCCAGTATCAAAGACGCACCAGGGTTGGCATCCGTCTTTCGAAGGAAGTTCGGTCGAGTTGCAGAACTTCAATGCCAAGTGCCAGCTCCCGGTAAAACCTTGAAACTCTAAGATGCATTACGTTACCTTTTCTACTGGTAACAAAAGACACTGCCCGTGACCAACCTACCTACCGAGATGTATGGGAAGCCTTACTTCAGTTGAGAGAGCACGTACTAGAGTCCGACGTGCAAAAGTTAGCCATGCCAAAGTTGGAGTGCCGCCAATTAGATTGGAGGGTTATACGAAACGTGGTGGAGGAAATCTTTAAAGACACCGAAGTCCAGGTGTTAGTCTGTTGCAATCCGCATAGTTACTGGTGCGGAGAGAAGCATGTCGTTCCTGTTCCAGTCCCGACAAGGTTCCAGGAGGAACCAACTTTTAAAAGGGGGGCAATGTTACGATGTTATGGCGTATAGAACTATAAATATTTTATGACTAATTCTTTTGTATTGATTCTCGTAATTTCTAGGTCAAAAATCTACCTGACATCATTTGGGTCCCCTTCGCTAAACAAACAACAATCGAATTTTCTGGGGACGAGCCGATAAAGAACATACCAGTTTTGAGACCAGTCGCCGCCGTGTCTACGTCGAGATCGAGAACGGCATCGTATTTTCTACAACATTCTGTTACAAGCTGGTTTCATATAAATACCGGAAGATTTTCATTGAGGAGTTAGTCATAAGAAGATCGGGAAACGCGATTTAATTGTAACGAAACATAAATAAATTATTTGTAATATAAATTAGGATTAATAAAGACTTTAATAAATTCGTAATTAGTTATCGTGAGTTTTAATAAATTAGAATATAGACAATAAATTAGAATAAAGACAAATAAATTAGAACTATATAATTATACAACAATATATTTATATATATATGAAGTAACGACGTTTCAACTTTAACTTCGGAATATTTTAATAACGATTTCCTAAGTGGAAGTCCAAACGTCAAAGACATTTAATTTCTAACTCATATTGTGGCTTATTCCCAATTAAAATAGCAAATTTACGACAAGATCATTTTGTACCTCATATTTCCTTCCTGTATACAATTTGCTTACAAAATCAGCTCCAAACAAAATCTCAATTGGTGCTGTCTGTCCGTCATCGCTGAGCAAAGATTCCTATCCATTCACACATGACAGTATCTTTTTTGGAAATGAGTAGACCAACTTTTTCTAGCAACAGCGAAAAAGTGAAGTTGTCCAGTTGGCAGTAGTTTTTGTAATCATCCTCATCAATGACATTGAGCAATTTCGTGTCGCAATAGTTCAACACGATCAACAAATAATTTCTTTGTCCATTTTTTCTTCTTTTTTCAGATGTTAAGGATAACAAACACAATGCTGTCATTTTCCTCCTCCTAATTATATTTTGCGTAGTGTTTACTCGATACACTTTTTGGTTAAGCGATATACACCCTCGTGAAAACAAACTAGAACTGAAGTTGGACCGCTAATTGGATAGCAAGTCGGAGCATGAGTTGAGACGAATAACGAATATTCAACTATAAATATATATATATATATATATATATATATATATATATATATATATTATATATATATATATACATGTTCGGAAAGATTTCCGCGGTTAGTACAATAAAACCTAGAGCTAAGATTAATATTATTACTAAAATTAATATTAAACTCACCAGTCTTCCAGGTTGAACCGCGTTGTAATTCATTTTCTCTACACTACACTACACTAGTAGTGATTGTGCCGTGAATAGTGAACAGTGTAGTAGTGTCTGGGGGCTCGGGAGACTGAGACCTCGGAAGCCCTGAGGAAGGCATCAGAGAGGATGCCGACAGCTTGGCAAAATGGATTACGACGCGGTTCAACCCGGAAGACTGGTGAGTTTATATTAATTTTAGTAATAATATTAATCTTAGCTCTAGGTTTTATATATATATATATATATATATATATATATATATATATATATATATATATATATATATATATATATAGTAATAAGTACATATTATAGTAATCCTACTAAATGTGACAGCCAGTCAAAACGTGAATGCCCAGCTTTGGATACTTCTTGAGTCAAACTAAAGGTCGATTCAAACACATCAGTCACGTCTCGTCACAGTCCCGTCGCCGAACCGAACAATCCGTCATACAAAATATTCTTTAATATAAATATGCCGCCGGCATTCACATTCATCGGTTGACGAACAGTTTCCCAGCTGTCAGATAATTAATAGTTCTGTGACCAAACAGGACCGGTTTGGCGCCGAGGCTGTGACGGGATCATCGAGCGGGACTGATGTGTCTGAATCGACCTTTAAACGCATTAGCTCCGCACCTGCAGAGGTATAAAATTAAAAAAAAAAATTGGTTGAAAAAATGATAATTAGTGAGTTAGGACATCAGCGCCGAATATAGTGCGGACATTTGCGACAAATGTAATTATTGTAAAATTTAGTTCCGTTAGCTAATTATATTTTAATTTAATAAAGAATTAACAGAAAAATGAATTAAATGAATGAGTGCGACGCTCTGTTACTCTCCCGAACAGCCGCCACTCCTAATACATTCATTTTTCTACACCAAGTTGCTTAATAAAATGGAACTTTTTAAAATCATTCATGTTGTTATAACTATTTGTGACAAATAAAACAGTAAACTAAAGAAGAAATTTACGTTAAAAATTGATCGCTGGGAAACTATAACTTTTCATTGTCAATAATTGTGAAAATAATCGATAGATATAATAAGAAAATAATTCGATTACTACCTTATCATTTAACTGGCATTTACATAATGCGTAATTTTGATCATACGGTGACTTCTCCAGATATGACAAGCAAGAAGCTGTAACTCTTCTAGATAACTTTCCTGCACGCTCAACTGGTGTCAATTTTATGTCTTTGTACCGGTTTATTCTAACATAAGGCCGTTCTTTATCGGACCAAGGATTCTTGGAAAACCTATTTTTGCTCCATGGATCTACAAATATAACCTTTGAGCTGTGGTAATGGTATTTTATATAAATAAAAGGGACCTTAAATAAAGGAAAAGATGTGTAAAGTGTTTCGTTACGAATATCAATAGCTTTATTCATAGATAGAGTAATGTGGCTTAATGTGGCAGCTAACATCCATAGAGAATAGTCACTTTAGAAAAAGAATGCTAACGCAAACAGGAAAATAAAAATCAAGGTATGTATATAGCGCAACAACTAACAGTTATTAATTGTTACTCTGGATAACATCAGGGTCTTCTAACTCTATTGCCACAAATTGATCGCATTGCTGTATCCTGTATCCTGTAGTGATCATTTCCCAAGTTAACATGCTCCTTTTATAACTTGGCGGTACCGTACTGATGACGACAAAATTGTTTTTTGTTAAAAATTTTCTGCCCATTTGGTTTTTTGTTAAATAACGCCCCTGAAACACTTGAAAGAGCAATCAGTAACCAAGAAGGTGTACCAGAAGTCCCTCCAGAAGAAGTAGAGTCGACAATTGCAAAAATGAAAATCGGTAAAGCAGCTGGAATAGATGGCATAACAGTGAGGCTTCTTAAATACGCTGGCAAAAAAAACTGCCAAATCTTATCAGGCATCAAACTGCCTAAGATCAAGATACATACCAGACCACTGGAATACAGCAAACATAATTCTCATTGATAAAAAAGAGGATATCAAAAACTACAGACCTATAAGTCTACTACCAATTATATTCAAGATATTTACAAAGATCATCAGCAACAAATTACCAAATGCATTAGATGCTGCACAGGTAAGAGAGCAAGTTAGCTTCAGTCGTGGGTTCAGTACCCTAGATCATATCCATAGGCTTCGAGAGCTAATGAGTAGAGCTAAAGATATGAAAACACCGCTAACATTAACCTTCATATATTTGGAGAAGGCTTTCGATTCTATATATCCCAAGGCAGTAGTAGAAGCTTTGACCAACCAAGACATTGACAAACCGTAAATAGAGACTTTAGCAAATATATACAAACAAGCAAAAGCTAAGGTAAAATTTTATGAAAACACTTCAGAATTTTCCATTACTAGAGGAGTCCGATAAGAAGACGCAATATCACCAAAGCTCTTCACTGCAACTTTAGAAGATATATTCAGCAAAATGAACTGGCAGAACAAAGGCCTATCCATTGATGAATACCTCAGCCTTGTCTTGCAGACAAGATCATTCTGATTGCTAATAGTCCTGCCTAAATGCCGCGGCCTAAAAGTGAACTTGACAAAAACAAAAACCATGTACAACGAGCTAGCGGATGTCCAAGATATAATACAAGGGTTCTTTGTGGTTTTGCATAGAGCCATTAAGACAAAAAATGTATAGGCTTAAAGTACTTTTTTAAGTTTTAAAGACATTGATGGCTTCTTCTGACGACTGGAATCGCTACCCACGTATTGAGTTTTTAGTCTTTGGGAACGTGAAGTGACGACTATACACTTGGAAAGCCCCATTTAATGATGGCAATAAGCCTGAGTCTTCAAGAAATCAAATAGACTATTTACTTGTAAATGACGTTTCCGAAATGCCGTCAAAAAAGTCACTACATATCCTGGGACAGATATTGGATCTCATCATAAAAAATGTGCAGTAGCAGATATTAAACTAAGGTTAAACTGAATCCAGCGACAAAAACCAAGTACTTTACTTTGACGATGTAAACATAAAACATAACATTAAAAAAGAATTTAACAATAGAATAACAGCTAGAAGATCCAGAATAACTATGGAGTGAATTTAAAAATCAATTTAACGAAATCTCCACAAACAATGATTATAGAAAAAACTTAATTAAGAAAAATAAATGGATGACAGACGACATCTTGAAATTAATGGAACAACGTCGACTGATAAAATCTGCAGAGAATAATAAAAAATGAGATCAAATTAGCTAAAGAAAAATGGATGAGAGAAAGATGCGACGAAATAGAGGATGTAATATCTAAATACGACTTATTTAATGTGATGAGTAACATATTTGAAAAACGAGTTTCCTATGTACTCGTTGACAATAATATCAAAATTATTGTAAATGAGCGTGAAGTAAGAAAAAATGGCAGCTGTATATATCAGAGTTGTTTGAAGATGACAGGAATCATATTGCAGAATTCTGCCAAAAACTGTACTGACGGCCAAGAAATTATAAAATGCGAGGTAGAACACGCTACAAATGCTAAAATTATTTGATAAAATATCGATTAATTAGCCTAATGAGCCACACTCTTAAAATTTTCCTAAGAATACTTCACAGCAGAATTAGACGCAAATGCGAAGACGATCTTGAAGGTAGCCAATTTGGTTTTAGAAATGCTATGAAAACCAGGGAGGCACTTTTTAAGCTTAACATCCTATTACAAAAATGCCGTGACCAAAAAAATATGTATTTACATGTTTCGTGGACTTCGAAAAGGCATTCGATAAAGTACAGCATGTCAAATTAATGCAAATACTGAAAAATATCGGAATAGATGACAAGGATATTCGTGTCATTAAAAATTTGTACTGGAATCAAACTGCTTGGAAATAACTACACCGATGAAATCTCTATACAAGGAGTCAGATAAGGTTGCATTTTGTCGCCAACATTGTTCAATGTTTATTCGACCAGTTATTTAAAAAGACCCCTGAGAGACAACATATGGAATAAAAATCAACGGAGAACTACAGAGATATGCAGACGATATGCTAATTCTATCAAATAATATTGAAGGTCTTCAAATTCTGCTTGATCGTATTCACTAGGTAGGAGAGGAAATGAGCATTAAAATAAACTCTTCTTCTTCGGGTACCTTCTCCTAGCGGAGGTTGGAAATCATCATCGCTGTTTTAACTTTGTTGGCCGCATTTCTGAATAATTTTAATGAGCTGCAGCCGAACCACTCTCTCAAATTTCTTAGCCAGGACATTTTGCGTCGTCCTGGGTTTCTCTTCCCTTGTATCTTCCCTTGCATAATCAACCTCAGTAATACGTACTTCTCACCCCTCATTAAATGTCCCAGATATTGAATCTTTCTAATTTTAACAGTTTTTATGACTTCACATTCTTTCTTCATTCTTTGTAACAGACAAAACCACATTTTTAGTGTTTAGTCGTGACCCACACCTCGATGTAAAGCTTCAATCAAACCGAGTCCAAGTTAAGAAAGTTCACAAAATGACATATTTGGGAACTGTGATAACAGACCAACTAGATCCAGAAATAGAAATAAAACGTAGAATAGCAATGGCTAAAACTACTTTTATTAAGATGAAGTAATTTCTTTGCAATAAACTTCTCAGTTTAGAACTAAGACAAAGAATGGTTAAGTGCTATGTTTGGTCCGAACTTTTGTATAATGCAGAAGTATAGACGCTAAAAGTATCGATCATAAACAAAATTGAAGATATGTAAATTTGGGTTTATAGACGAATGCTGAAGATACCTTATACAGCAAGGAAAACTAATGAAGAAGTACTAAGGAGCTTGAACAAAGATAGAGACTGCTAAAGACTGTTAAACATAAAAAAATGTCTTACCTGGGATATATAGTAAGGGAAAGTCGATATAAAATATTACAACTGATCCTTAAAGACAAAATAGAGGGCGGCAGAGCTGTAGGAAGAAAACTAGTTTCTTGGTTAAAAAAAATTCGTGAATGGACTCCGATACCAAATGCAGGACAATTATTCCATATTGCAGAAGATCGAGAAGCCTTCGCAATGGTGATCGCCATTGTCGGATAATTCTGATATGGCACGCAAACAAGAAGAATCCAAGATATTAGACAATCGTTGGCAG